CGCCTTTTATCAATGCAAAAAGATGCTAGGCGTGAAATGGGGCCTATCGCCTAAGATAACATTATGGATATACACTGCCATAATTAGGCCAATGCTGGCCTACGGAGCCCTTGTTTGGTGGCCCAGAACAGAACTTCAAACGGCAATTACCTAACTCGGACGCTTCCAGAGGCTTGCTTTGTCCGCTGCTAGCGGTTGCATGAAAACAACACCAACTGCAGCAATGGAGATGGCCCTGCAGATCTTACCCCTGGACCTACACATACAGCAGGAGGCAGCCCTGGCTGCTATCAGGCTTATGGTACTGGATCTATGGGGAAAAAATCACTACAGTGCACACAAAGCGATTCTCAACAGGGCAATAGAGTATCAACCTCTTATTGCTGCGCCCTGTGATAGAATCACTAACCAATTAATATTTAACAGAAAATATCACATACAACTGAGAGAAGAGGAACATGATCGGTCGACCGTGAATGAGCTACGTATATATACAGATGGATCCAAAACAGGGTCTGGCTCAGGCGCTGGCATATTCTCTCTTGATCTCAACATCAACATACACCTACCCTTGGGCACACAGAGCACGATCTTTCAATGTGAATGTGTCGCCTTAACCGAAGCAGCCAGAGCCGTGCAACGGCTAGGGATTAATGACTTTTGCATTAAATTCGTATCCGACAGTGCATCCGTGCTGATGGCGCTCGGAAACAAAAAAACCAACAGCAAACTAATACTGGAGTGTCATGAAGCACTGGAGGTCATAACCCGAACCAATAGGGTTACCTTGCAGTGGATAAAGGGACACAGTGGTTCTTTCGGCAATGATGCTGCTGACGAACTTGCGAAAAGAGGCTCCGGAATGATGCCTGCTGGCCCGCATCCGCTCCTTCCTTTGCCCTTCTCGCTGGTGCGAACCTGGATTCGCCAGAGATCCGCTGAACTCCAGCAACAACGATGGTCGCATGGTGCGGCCTGCAGACAGTCCAAAGTGGCTCTGCCAGCAGTAAACCCGCAACTGACAAAGCGACTACTAAACTTAAATAGAACCAACCTTAAAATAATGATAGGGACAATAACGGGTCATTGCCTCCTAAATAAACATCTTTTTGTCCTAGGCGCGACAGACAGCCCCCTGTGCAGAGGCTGTTTCAGCGCAGAGGAAACAGTCACCCACGTAGTCCTGGAATGCGAGGCTGTGGCTAATCAACGTGAAAAAATCCTCGGAACGGTGAGGTCGCTCCGGGAAGCCTGTGAAGTGCCCAGGAGACTGTGCTTCTGGAAGGAGCTAGGCTGGCTAAATTAGCCAGGACTCGTACGCACAACGGACCAACCACGAGTCTAATTGCGGAGAAAGGAGTCCTTCTACCCTAACCCTAACCTTAAAATATAATAACTAAAATATATTATTAAAGTGAGTCCCTTTAAAATATTTTAGTACTAACATATTTGTATAAAGTCAGCAATAAGTGCGAGCAATATGCTAGCATTAAATATTAAAAATATATAAATGTTAAATTGATACCTGTTATAAACAAATCCTGAATTACATGAAAGTAGGAATTTTTTGTAGCAATATGAGCGGTGGTCTGTCGACGTGGCGACATGTGGTGGTGATAGCGCGCGTTAATATTACAGGTGCTAGTGATCTATTGTTTGTACGTGGTGTGGTGTTAGCTATAGGCGACTCAAGATCGTATATATATTATTAGTATATTCGAAATATAGTAAACTAGTAGTCTTAATATTAGTCCAAATATTTCTGAATAAGTAATTTTTGTATAAGATTTTGTCTTCTCTGTGCTCTACGGCTTAAAATCTTGGACGCTATGCACTGAGAGAGACTATGTTCAAAAAACTACCTACAGACCTAGAACGCTTCCGTTCTAGGTCTGAGTTTATCGACGTATGCTTAAAATATCTTGGACAGACCGCATGCGAAATACAACCGTGCTGGACAGAATGCAGAAGAACAAAAAAAGTACTTATAACGGTTAAGAAAAGGAAACTTCAGTATTTCGGACACGTTTTACGTAACACCAAAAAATACGATCTCCTTCAACTAATCATACAAGGCAAAGTGGCAGGTAGAAGGAGACTTGGCTGCAGACGCACGTCTTGGATGTAGAATCTTAGACAATGGTTTGGTTAAATCACCAAGTCATTGTTCATAAGCGCGGCATTCAAAATTAAAGTTGCCATGATGATCTCCTTCGCACTATAAGAATAAGAAGTCAGGTATCTTTACTCCTCTGTCTGTACGAAACTCCTCTCAACAGTAAGACATCTATTGTCTATGTCAAGTTTATTATTTTACACGTTTATAAACAAATCTTTTCTCCATTATAAAATATAGAAATAAATCATGCATAGCTATAAAATAATAAGTTTTTTTAATTAAACTGATTACATAACTGATGTTACCGATTAGTAAAAATAAAAATCGCTACCTCTTCCAACAAACACGTCAAAACAAAGGAACGTGTGAGGCAAGAACACGCGAAATATTTGTTAGAATAACTCTTAACACATGTGCCGATACATTGATTTACGCATTTTAATATTCTTCCTTTAAACCTTACGTTCATATATTCGGTAGGTATACATTCATTTATATTATTAATGGGGAAATCTCACCACTAATTATCATTAAATAAATGTGAGGAAATGAAACTAGAAACTACTACTAAACGGAACTTAATTTGAATTTACGAATCTTTCCTCAAATCATTCATAATAAGTTATCTTAATTCAGAATAGCCATGTAACAATACGTTAGGCTATAGTAATTTAAATTCAAATTTTATTAAATAAGACGAATACCTCTTCGTATTGACGCAATCGGTTAAACATTGGGGTACAAAGCAATTTTCACGTACCTCGACATCTTTTTCGCGTTATCTCCACAACTGGTTTTTTACGATACTTAGCAAACTTTTTGCGTAGAATGGCTCAAACTTTCAATTTTCCTGTCATTAAGTCTCTTAACGCGTTCCACGGAAAGTGAGAAAAAAATTCCAGCAATCAAAAATACGAGTTTGATCGAGGGGCGTTATGATGTTTTACACGGGAACTTTTTTTATCAAAATCAGTGTGATTCTGATAAAACACTTAATGAACACAGATAGTAAGTTTTGCTGGTTTAAAATCTTTAACTAACTAACAGCCATATCATTGTTCTCTCGGAGTCTAAATCAATTCTAAATAATAAAAAAGCACTAATCAGGGATTAAGTCTGGATTAAAATGAATTTTACCCATAACATCACATAATATACAGATTTTAATTCTTATTAAGGTGCCGTACCGTAGAAACATTTCCATTTTTTCCCGACCTGAGGGTTGGTAGACTACAAAGAGATCTTATCAGAGCACGTAAGTAAAACCGTGCATTAACACCTACCACCAAACACTCTTTGATGTTGTGATGTAATCTCTGGCACGGGTTGGAATAATGCTCTACTCAAAGTTATTATAGACTGGCTTTTGTTTTCATTTCAAATTGATTTGTAATTGATGAAATTGAAATGTAAGTACTATAATAACGAAATTCCACCCGTATTACCTCAACGTCCGCCGTTTCACAACTGAGCGTTTTTAGGGCAGTTTTTGACGCGAACCACCGCTATATGGCACCTGCCCACTGAAGTATTTCCGATCCAATTCGACTTAGGGTCCTTTAAGAAAAGAGCAACGCACTCGCAAGCCTTCCAGTATTGAGGTGTCCATAGGCGGTAGTGTCACTAAACATCAGATGAGCCTCCTACCGTTTGACCCCTGTTCTACAAATAAAAAAAATCTGCCTAGATCTTATCTTGGTAATTTTCTGGCAATTTGGTACCTTAGACAAATCGTCGATCTTTGATTTAAATACATGTCACTTTTCTTAATTACGTCACAAATATGCATTCATCTTTTAAATATATCTACTGTACTCCACTCACAAATATTTTTAAAATCTTTGATATTAGCACTAGCAGTATATGTGTGATTAACAGAAATATTGGAAATGCTGTCATTATATACTGACCATTTTATTCTGTAAGAAACTTGGTAAATACTACTCGTAAAATGTATAAACGTATAGTTTCTAAAAACAATGTAGGGGAGTATTCACTGTTCAGTCGCATTACAGTAGTATTTGCCACAATAGAAGTCTTTTGGGTCCTTTGTCGCATCAGTTTGATTAACTTTGATCTAGGTGAGTACACTAATGGATTGTTGGAAAGAGTTCTCATCACCTGAAAGGCTTGTTCTAGATCAGACTAGATGTAATTATGGAATTAGAGCTACAACAGCCTGATTCGAAGTAGTTTTGTTGCGTTGCTTTTTACGACACCGACGTTTCAAAACAATTCTAAATAAAAAGAGATATATTTTTATTTACTGCCATTGAATCGCGTTTATGGAATGGACTTTTCTTCCTACGTGCGCGTACACACTTATACCGTGACAGATATCATTGTGAAACCCGCATGCCCAAAAGGCTTATTAATACAGTTTATCAATACCATTTTGTCCTTGACTTTTAGAACAGTAGAATATAACTTAAATACGAGGCTTGAATAAAATAATGGGTCATAATACATTTCTGTATCTTTTTTTTACAGTATAGGAAACGAGCCTACGGGACGCCCGACAAGGACAGTTATCGCAGCCCATGGTCACTTATTCATAGTGGGTGCGTTGCCAGTCTTGATACTCTTCTTTTTAGAATTGGAGATCGTATCTCCTAGGGAAGACCCCCACCGGGAGCCGATTCTACAGTTCGCTGATTCGAAAAGTTCGCACTTTCAAATGAAAGACCGTGGAAGACTTCCAGCCATGATGATCACAAAATAAACCACTCAACAAACGCTGAAAAGAGCATAATCAAGTGATAATTATAAAATAAAACTATAATTTTGTAGAACCTATATTCCATGTATTTCAACAAACTAACATCAGTACAACAACCTATGGTCTAGACTAGAAAATTCCATTACTTAGAGCCTTGATCTTTTATTGCGATCGTGGGAGGTGGGTACCAAAGGCTTGGAAACCATTTTCATTGGCCTCGTATGTAACCAAGTATAGCTTGCCGTTGACACCGGGGTATTGGAAAGATCCACGCACGTCCAGAACCTCATCGTCGGTGCCAATATTCCTCAGATGACCTTCCTCCTGACTCACGATACCATTGGAAGTCTCATACCTGAAAAATACTTTTATAAGAAAATTATGTAAAACTTACGATCGTCAAACATGATTCCAAATAACTGCCAGTTCTCAAATCAAGGGTAATTGTGATTCCATGAAATAGTCAATCAAATAAATTGATCCCTTGATTATATGTGTTATTTGATTGTAATAGTTGCAGCTCCATAGAAACGTTTCGTAAAACAAATCACGTGGTGATTTAAAGGAGTGACGGATTGTTTATGGCTCTCTTAATTATCTCTTCTTTATCTATTATCTCTTCTCGTCCTTTCTACCTCCTCGAGAACTGACAGTAAAATTAAATTTAGTAGCAACTCTTTTACGTTCATAATTCTTCAGAGTTACCTATATTAATAAGTTATGTCTAAGCAAACTAATGTTTTATAATTAGTATAGAACGTGAAATAAAATTTGTTTCTATGTTTGTTTTATTTGAAATTAATGGTAACCATGACAACAAATAATTGTAATTTAAGCCGATGTATTACACAGCGAAAATGTCTTAATTAACTGATGATATATTTGTCTACATCTACGAACTATTGAACTGCTAGATATAGATCTTTCTTTAATGTTTTCTTTTATATGAGTAACGATATACATACGTGTATTTGTATCCATCAATTCCGCTATTCTCACTGTCGTATTGGAGTACAACGGCATCCTTTTCGGCGGGAAAGGTGACAGCCGCTGCCACGTACAATATGAAGACGAAAAACTATTCAAACGAAATAAGTTCGCATGTAGAAATTGATTATTTTGTTAAGTTTTTACTCTAAATTTCAATAATTAACGTGTTTCTTTTTAATGATTACTTACTACTTAGTCAATGTGATAGAAGAATAGCACATGCAAGTGCCTTATTATTATCAAACGTAGATACGTGTTTTTTACTGTTAGGATATTATTCCAAGTGAAAAATGGTTGGTAACCATGGTAACAAATGCGGTGTTATTTTAACTCTATTTTATTATTGAGTTGACGGATCTTTGAACCATTTATTTTGGAGGCTCTGAGTATATGTGCTGCGATTGAAGTACATTACTACATTTGTCCAATGAATTTAAGGAATCACTAGTATTTTTATTAAGAGCTTTATACTTGAAATTTAGTTTTAATCACCCGTATTAAAAGAGACGCTTGCTTACTCACAGATTTCATTGTGGTGAGGCGAATGTCCGTGAGGATAGCGGTAAACTGTGATTAGAATATATATTTCGCACTTATATACTTTTGATGAGCATACATCTAAATTTTCCCACAGTAAATTTACTAGTAGTACTTGTTTTTAAGGAACATAATATATCTCTAAAATTATTAGATTACTTTTAATTTTCCTTTACTCGAACTCGATGTTTCAATGTTTCAAATAAACATACCTAACAAACTTCAGTTGGACATTAAACAGCATAGTATAAAAAAATATCTTAAAACTTAATAATAATTTAACTATAACTTAGTATCCAATGAATTTTCTGTCTATCTCCACTATAACACGCTTATTAAGCAATTTTATTGTTTAGTTGCCAAAATTATAAGTATTTTCCTCAATAAAACTCGCTGCCGTCTGATTTATACAAAAACTATTTAATTAAAATAATAACAACAAATCTTCATCAAAATATAGTCTTCGACTAAATTTCAAATCGATATAAAAGATATCAAAAAGCGCCTTAACGCAATCAAATTATCATAATAATTAATTACCGGCGCAGCCTTGACATTCACTAAATATCAAACCGGCTCATCAGTCTGTGGTAAACCTGCTATTATGGTGATACCAAATCGAGTAATATGATATGCGTTTTTAGTTTCATCAATCGAAACTCACTTTCACTAAGCTAACTTAGAAAAAGTGAAATGACCTTCCACAATCTGTGTTAACGTATTTCATTTTGCGATCAAAGCCTTCCCAGTGTTTTCTGCTCTTATTAGTGCTATAAACCACCTGGAACATGGATTTAGCGTTAAAAAATATTTAGCGTTAAACCTCAATATCTAAGTTATTGGGCCACTAGGCCAGTAGTGTTGGCCTGATGGCTTCAGCGTGCGACTCTCATCGCTGGGGTCGTAGATTCGAACTCCGGCATTGCACCAATGGCCTTTTTTATATGTGCGCATTTAACATACACTCGAACGATGAAGTAAAACATGGTTAGGAAACCGGCTTGCCTTAGACCCAAAAAGTCGACGACGTGTGTCAGGCACAAGAGGCTGATCACCAACTAGCCTATTAGATTGACAAATGATCATGAAACAGATTTCTGAGGCCCAAACCTAAAATGATTATAGCGCCACTGGTTTTTTAATCTATACTATTGAAACCGGTGTCGGTCTAACTTATTAATCGAATTAAACGATTCGATAAAATTCAAAACCTAATGGGCATGTGAGCTAATAAGAAAATTATGACTTATGATTCAAGCTTTATCGAAATTTGATCGTATGCGATAGTGAAACGATTGTAGTTACATCACTCTTCGCACTCTTCAAAAGGCTATTCCTAAATTTGCGACTGCGATTGGTCCCAATATTTAAGCTTTGACATTTGAATGATGAGGTGCAATAGAAACTGGGCAAATTGTACACAAAAACTGTTTAGGCAAATTGTAATAGTAAATCCTTTCGTTTCGTGTAACAGAAACCTTAAATAAGTTGGTAAGTGTTACTCAACAAGGTCATGGCCCAGTGCTCAAATAAAGCTTAAAAGCTTACGTTGGCGAAAATTTGCGATTTTTTAACAGTAATTAAATTCAATTGATGACATAACAATAGCATATTATTGTAACTTTTTTATAGATTGTATTTGTCGTTAAGTTAGTAATTCGATATGACTTAATTTTTTTAGATAGATTTAAATATATATTATAGCAGAGCAAGTACAATGCTGGTATTATTATCGTTTTGATAAACTATTTTTATAGGATTATAAATTTTGACACGATATAAATATCAATCAGATGTAGAGCCAAAATATAAATGACCAAATTTGTATTGTATAAAAAACAGTGATAAAATTCAACATACCAACGATAGGATTGAAATTGTAATGAGGTTGCCAATTGAAGATGGTAAGGTCACAGATTACCATACCGGCCAAGCCGGCACTTTTGACTATACAAAATGTCGCATTCAAACATAATTATAAAGATATTATCATATCCAGAATATTGAATATTAATAAGGAAATAAACCTTTAATAATTTTGAATTATTCTGATTAGTTTAGGCAATAATGGCTGTAGGCGGTAATAAAAAATAGAACAAATGAAATTTAAATAACTTTGTTTATTAACAACATAAAAACCGTGTGGTATCACAGAATCGTTTGACGATCAACAGAAGATGGAAGGGGTGCTGAGTATTTTGGACTAGATTAAAGCTAATTTAGTGACTTATTGGGGGGCTTGGGGAAGGTGAGCTCCGGAGGCCTGGAAACCAAGCTCGTTGGCGATGTAGGTGACGGTGTAGAGGACGCCATCGGGACCGGGGTAAGAGAACTCTCCGCGAACTTCCAAAGCTTCGTTTTCGGTTCCGATGTTCTTGAGCACACCCTGTTCTACTCTCTTGATTCCGTTGGATGTCTCCACACTATATTTCATAAAAATAACATTTTAGAATTAGAAATGATTATAATTAAAAGGGTATTGTTAAGTTGGTCTAAATAAAAGAAGCCGAAAACACTTTAAAGGAAACAGAGAGTAATAGGTAAGTTGTATACTTACGCGTTGTTGTAGTCTCCAACACCGATGTTGTCAGCGTCGTATCTCAAGATCTGGGCATCCGCATCAGGAGATGCTGGAGCAGCGACGGCCGCAGCCACGAAGAGAGCGAATACGATGAACTGTAATAAGATGTGATAATTAATCCAAAGTAGTTCCCGAAATAGTAAAAAGATATCAGGAATTAGAAATCAAAACGTACGGATTTCATTTTTGGATGATTGAAAGGTTGTTGTTGTTAATAGATGAAAGGCTCACAAGCAACTGATGCCTGCTGAATCGAGACGCGGGTTTTTATATGAATCAAAGCAGTACGACAAGGACGCGTTGTGACATTTGAACTTAACGTCTACGGTCAGCGATCCGCTTGTATTAAAGGTGCTCCGAGACATGTCCGGTTAGACGAAGGATCTCTTGGAATTCATTTGGTATTTCTAATACATTCCTTTAAATTATTTCAGTTAATTAATAACAACAATACCCACTTGACTAGGGCACTTTACTAGGGCTCAAGCAAATAATATAGAACATTTTCTTACGATGCTAGCAATTGTAAGAAAAGAAAATTAAGTTTAATTTAAGCTGTAAAAGTTCAGTTGGGCGTGGATAATACACATTTCTGTGTTTTAAAGTTTGTTTGATCAACCTATTAGTGTTAACTAGGGAAACAAATCCAAGACATCTGCGGTTCGGTTTTATAAGTGTACATATAAGTCATACTAAACTGTTTAGCGTTACTTAGCCAATTTTTACTTAGTTTATTACTTTCTTTGATATATATTTATTTAGTTGAATAAAATCATTTTATTTTACCAATAAGTTAATATTATAGTATTAACTATTTAAAATTTTTTAATGGTAAAAAATATTTATAATAATTAGTAATAAGTTAAATTTTTATAAAACATTTAAGTAACTAAAGTGAGTGAAGAAGTAACTAACTACGCTGTGAAAGTGTTATTAATTCTTTATTTATTTTTCTACATATCGAACTGTTATATTAAATAACTATAGTATTGTGTTCTAGAATATAAGAATAGTTAAGTAAGGGTTAGGAACATATACATAATAATGACGGTTTTAGTTAGTCATATTTACTTGACAAGTTCATAGCGAACATCATATTTGAAAAGATTTCCTCAAGGAATAGCGATATATTTTTTAAAGTCACTTTTTTCTGTGAAAATTTTATTTCAAGTTTAAAACGTCTTGAGAGGACATATTGTTAGTGTTAGCCAATGTTTTGTCTTTGTTTGACACTAAGAGACAGTATGAAATTAAAATATGTAGTTTAGTGAAGTTTCCACGAAATATATGATTAAATTGATTACATGTTTAGTTGCTAAATGCATGACCTATGTATTATACTTGTGTAATAAGTTCACACAACTTTATTTATTTGACCTCTGTTATATGCGATTACCTAATTATTTTTTGGAGTTTAGACTGAACACACTTTTAGGTAATATTCAGGATTATCTTAAAGACAGAGGCGTTTATTATGTAAGGTTTTCGATATCTCAAAAAATCTCGAACCAATCTGAAATTATCTTTTGTTGATCTATCACTGGTAGTCCCTTAATAATCAGCGTCTGGTGATTCTTCACAAATTGAGGGGACTCTTAAAATGCTCAAAAATGCTTAGCTTCCTTTCAGGTGGCACAATAGGGTGAGGTCAAAAGATATGGTTCACATATGTAGTTCAAGTATGGCGTGTAAGTTATACATCTCGCCTCCAGAAATATGTGTATTTTGATGAAGCGCAGACAGTTCCTCTGAATTTCCTGATTTAAAATATTATCTCGATAAGAGATATATCAGTCTCAACTATAATTTAATTCCAACAAGTTAAACTGATACCCTTCTCTTTTCCTCTTTAAAGTCGGTAAAAACTGAATTTTAAAAGTTAGAATTACAACATCATAAGTGGATCAAAACTCATAAAATACATAATAATCTTAATGTCAGCTATGACGCAACGTCGATTTGTCTTGTGTATCTGCCAATTTAGTTTCATTGTATCAAAAAACTATCAATATCTATTATATTACTAGCTGACCCGGCGAACTTCGTACCGCCTAACAGTCAATGAATGTCGTGTTACTTTTTAGCTGAACTAATTTAGGCTTTGATGAACTAAAACAATATACAAAATAATATATTTATATAGATAGAAACAAAAAAGTATTTTATTATGATGAATGATGATGAAAACATACTGTATACAGTATGAGAATAAAAATAAAAAAATATAAAAAATAATAATTAAGTACTTCAAACTCATGTCAGAAAAAAATGATTGAAAACTATGTTGTAATTGGGAAAAAAATAAAACTCGATTAATTATTAATAGACTTTATTCAAGACTTTGTGATACGACATTCTTTGTTTTTTGGTCAGGCGCAAGAACAAATAAAGCGGATGGTTTGCCGACACGTGAGCATGCCACGTACAATTGACCATGAGAAAAACATGCATTTTCTAGATTGAGGCCACAAATAGTCAAGGATTGGCCCTGTGATTTGTTGATCGTCATGGCGAAGGCAAGACGAATCGGGAATTGAATTCGTTTAAACTCAAAGGGCATATCCGTTGGGATCATCGGAATCCTTGGAATAAGAACTTCGTCATCTTTAAATTTTCCTTTAAGTATCGACGCGTGAATCACATTGCTCATCAGTTTTCTTATCACCAAACGCGTTCCATTACACAGTTTTGGTTGGTTTAAATTTCTAAGCATGATGACTACCGAGCCAACTTTAAGTTTTAAATTGTGCGGTGGTAAACCAGGCACATCCAAGGAGTTTAAAAATTCAGTTGGATAATTAGTGGCTTCTTATTCGTTTGTTACACAGTCGATAGATTTGAATGAATACAGAGTACCTACTATTTGATTTTGAATTATAAAATTGAGGTCATCTACATCTTTATTTTTAGCGGCCAAAATTGCTCGCTCACTTAACCATTTAGTATTTTTGTGGTTAGCAATGATATCCGGGAATACTTTGTTGATAAGCTCGTCTTTTGATGATACGAAATTGCAAAAATTTGGAGGAAATGAAATCAAACCGCTCGATTTGTCAACAGGAACACGGCCATTACCGATAGTCAGCAATTGCTTCGAGAAATCATCAGCAGATAGATCGTTCAACAATGCAACTCTCATATTTACAGACAGTTGAAGTTTCTTTACATATCGCCACAGATTTGATGCTTTGAGGCAAGCGTTTATTTCGTCGGCAGCAGTAGATCTTGGAATGACTGGTAGTGTTTGTCGGAAATCGCCAGATAATAAAATCATTGCACCACCAAAACATCTCGAGTCATTGCGCAGATCTTTTAATGTTCGGTCTAGTGCTTCCAATGCGCGTTTGTGCGTCATTGTGCATTCGTCCCATATGATGATTTTTGATGCTACTAAAACTTTGGCCATTGCGGAGTGTTTCGAAATGTTACATGTCGGTTGTTCAGTAGTTTGAAGGTTTAATGGCAATTTTAACGCTGAGTGAGCCGTACGGCATCCGTCTAACAATGTGGCCGCTATTCCAGAAGAAGCAATTGCTACCGCAATTTCGGATCTCGCACGTACAGTGGCCAAAATCAATGACATGAGGAATGTCTTCCCTAGTAGTTCCCTTCCCTGTAGTTCCACCGGGGGCATCCAAAAAAAATAAGCCGCCATTTCCATCATCAATTGCATTAATCAGTGTATCATAGACTTCCCTCTGCTTAGGATTCAACAGAGGTACATTCGTTTGAACTGATTGGATTAGTAAAATAAAGTTGTGGCTTAAAGGTCTCAGCAACCAGGCCATAAGCTCCAAAAAAAAAAAATAGTTGTTACACTCTTTGACAGGATTGGACAACAATTAATGTTTGACATGTAATAAACAAATCAGCATCTATTGAAATGATTAAGTATTCATTACACATATCGAGTTTTCATTATTTTTAAGATGTATTCTGCTATTCGGGACGGAAACAAATCCAACAAATCAAAAACCATGGCAATCGGTCCAGCCGTTCTCGAGTTATAAGTGTTGTAACAAACACGACTTTCTTTTATATATATAGATTGTATAACATTGTCTTATAATAAAGATCTGTTAAGTAGGAAATACAATTAGTTGTGGATATAAATTTATTTTAATAATATAATTACTAATAATTAATACTATTATAATATAATTTCATATTAATTGTTGTATAGGTACCTGCTTAACATAGATAAGTCTTCCTTCTGAGGTACGTCGCTGCAGAATCAAATGTTTAGTAGACAAGTGATTTAAGTGATTATAGGATGTATTTTGCCAGCTATTGTGACAATTATATACTAGTTTAAATTGGTTATAAAATTATAAAGGGAAAATTAATTTGTTTAATTGTTAATTTAAATTAAATTTGCTGACATTAAGATTATTATGGATTTTGGTAGGTAGCTAATTTTCGATACCTTCATTGTGTAGACTGTAGAGCAAAAAAAATATTAAACATCAATCAACAATTTGAATAAATAAATAAATTTTAATTTGATTGATAATTATTTGTACATAAAAACTGCAAAACGCGCGCCGCATTCCCTAAAAAATATAGAATCTACTTTTCCTCAACGAATTACTTAAGATCTATTACAATTATTACATAAGACGTCATTGTGATGATAAATGCATGGTATTTGAGGCTGGTATTATGTCACTGAGGTCAAACTGGTCGGTACAATACACATTGCAATAACTTATATTAGAAAGTTGGTAAATATTCATGGTTTACTTTAAATATGGTATTTTGATAAATTTTACAGAATTAATATTGTAATATGAACTTAATTTTTTACTTTATATATTATTTGGTAACCTGTTTATTTTCGATATTCATTTCAAAACTGTAAAGACTGGACACTTTTTAGATCGAAGCATAAATATACTGTAGAGGTTTTATGCTACTTTCCTATAGAATATTTTATTACTACGATTTTGTACAACTAAAAGTATTATTGTAATATTACTACTACAATTTAGAAATAATCATTATTAGCACAGTAAATAAAAAAAAAGGCTGCGTGTACTTATGTACACGCGTAAGAAGTTATACTTCTTTGGCATTATTAAAAATAGTTTTTGATTGCATGCAAATAATTAATTACAATTAAATAATCAAAGACTGGAAAAGGAGTCATTATAGTCAATTAAGTTCAGTTTACATTTGAAAAAT